TAGCTGGAAAATGGAGATTTAGAAAGCTTAGAAACGACCCAATAGAAAAGAAGTAAGAAATGGTGGAACTTGAAAATGACTTCATCTTTTCTCACTGCGCAGAATATAGTCAAACACTGCTACAGTTAAATATTTTGCCCTTTGTTCTCCCTGTGTAATCTACAATAATAATCTGCTTAATGTTGATATTTACTGCTGTGTTTCTTTTTTTTTTTTAATATATTTTATTGATTTTGTACAGAGAGGGAGGGAGAGAGATAGAGAGTTAGAAACATCGATGAGAGAGGGTCATCGATCAGCTGCCTCTTGCACAACCCTACTGGGGATGTGCCCACAACCAAGGTACATGCCCTTGACCGGAATCGAACCCGGGACCCTTCAGTCCCCAAGCCGATGCTCTATCCATTGAGCCAAACCGGTTTTGGCTACTGCTGTGTTTCTGACAATTACCTGAAAGAGAAGTTGAGGTGCTCACTGGGCTGGAAAAAGTTTAGCTAAATAAGAAAGCAGGTCTAATTAAGCAAGTTTATTCTTTATCTATAAGAAGCTAAGTGCACAATACATATAAAGCTCTCACTGGCGCCAATTGCATGCGTGTGTTTTGATCTGTTATTGTCAATAGTGAATTTGGTTGACACTTCTATTATAGAGAAAGGGCAAATGGTGATATTAAAATATTTCTTCTAATTAATTTCCTTTCAATGTGCATGAATTCGTGCACCAGGCCACTAGTTAATATATAAGAACCTACTAACTTTTTCTGACTTCTGAAGTGGAAAATAACTGACTTCAGGGTGAAATAGGCCTAGGTTTGATTCCATAGCCAGTGTCCTCAGGTTGCTGCTTTTTATGTATTTTCATTTCATTTCATTTCATTTTCATTATTGATTTCAGAAAGGAAGGGAGAGATAGAGACAGAAACATCAATGATGAGAGAGAATCATTGATTGACCGCCTCCTCCATAACCCACACTGGTGATTGAGCCTGCAACCTAGGGATGTGCCCTGCCTGGAAATGGAACCGTGACCTCCTGATTCACAGGTTGATGCTCAACCAATAGCCCATGCCATCCAGACAAACATGGGCAATTCTTTGGCCAAAGCTCCAGCCTATTGTACAGTGTTCATACTAGAGAAAAGCTTGAGGCTGTAGTGAATGGAAAAAGCTCAGACCCCATTAAACATCAGAGAGTTCACATTGGACAAAGATCTTGTGAGGGCAGTGAATGTGGGAAAGCCTTCAGCCCCAGGTCTTACCTCATAGAAAGTTCACATGGAGCAAAACCACAGAAATGCAGGGAATGTGCTACTTTCTTGTTTAGTGTAAAACTGGAGGGGAGCCTTGGTGAGGGAGACAGTTGAAGTAAGAAACGCACATCTGAACATACACAGTGGGGAGACCCCCACCCCCACCCCCAAGTCCCAGTTAGGTGGTAAGCTTCAGGAGCTCTATTGCACTTTCTAAGCTGCCTGGGGCTCTTGCCAAAATCTCAGCCTTGCCACCTGATACGTCCCCATAATTTTTGAGTAAGGGTTTGGCATCTTTGTTTTACATAAAAATATGTAACTAGTCCTGCCTTTGGCCACCTGCCTCATAAGACATGACTTAAGTCTCCTGGTCCTTGAAAGAACCTATGCTTGACATATGGCCAAAGGCTGTGACTTCCCTGGTTACGTTGGTTGCCTGCAAACATCTTTGCTTCACCTATCCAGGTGAACACTGCTATCTTCTAGTGTAACACACTTTCCTGCCCCTGGACAAAGATCTTCTAGGAATATAATCTACCACCCCCTTCCCCAAGCCCTGCAAGACCCACCCAAGGTCATCACAGGCATATACGGTAGGTTCTTAATAAATGCTTATCATTGATAGACTGACTTACTGGGCTTCCATAAGTGACCATCTAAGTCCTGTGCTGTTTAAAACAGTCATTCTGTATCCATTCATTCATACTTGCTCCTGAGTTATATTCATTTGGCTTGGACATAACTTAGGCCTCTATCTTAGTTTATTTAGGTGAAATACACTCAGTTGCTATCTCTATTATGTTCACCATCCAGCAAGTTAGGGTTTCTGAATCATGACTGTATAATCTTTGTATGTCCTCCAGAGATCCTTTTGCAGATGGAAGCTATAGGTGTTTGACAGCAGTGAGTTGGTTTTCCTATTGCTAACATATAATGGAGGTGTGGTAGAGTAGAAGGAACATAGACTGGAGTCAAAGGTGTCTGGATTGGCTCTTGCTATTTATTAGCTGCTCCAAGACCCCATTTCCTCCAGTATAAAAATGATAAAAAGGTTTCCATGGCTTTTCCCGTGGAAGCCACAGGGCTGAGAACTGTGGCCTTTTCTCCACACTATGGCATCTGCTCATCCACTGACATCAGTGTGCTCCAAAAAGGGGGAATCATCTGGCAAAAATGTCACTTTGCCTGTGGTGTTCAAGGATCCCATTCAGCCAGATATTGGAAGCTTTGTCCACACCAACTTGCACAGAAACAATAGACAACCCTAGTCTGTCAGTGAATTGGCAAATCATCAAACCAGTGCTGAGTCTTGGGGTACTGGCAGAGCTGTGGCTCACATTCCCAGAGTTCAAGGTTCATCATTCTAGCCAGGTGTTTGTCATGTTTGCACTAGACAAAATCTGGTGCCATTGGCACTGCAGAGTGAACACAACACAGAAGCAATATGCCATCTGTTCTACTTTGGCTGCCTCAGCCTTCCCAGCACTGGTCATATCTAAAGGTCACCATATTGAGGAAATTCCTGAATTTCCTTTGGTGGTTGAAGATAAAGTTGACGACTACAAGAAAACGAAGGATATAGTTTTGCTTCTTAAGAAACTTAAGGCCTGAGAGTTCAGTTGGTTAGAGCATCATCCTAGATATTTCAAGGTTGTGGGTTTGAACTTTGGTCAGGGCACATACAAGAATCAATCAAAGAAATGTATAAGCAACTCCTCTCTCTCTCTCTCTCTCTCTCTCTCTCTCTCTCTCTCTCTCTCTCTCTCTCTCTCTCTCTCTCTCTCTCTCTCTCAAATCAATAAGTAAAAATTTTTTTTAAAAGAAGGCATAGGCCTGGAATGATATAAAAAGGGCCTCTGCCCCTCAGTGAATGAGAGCTGGCAAGGGCAACATGAGAAACCATATTCATATCCAGTGCAGGGGACTTTGCATCATCTATAAGGAAGACAATGGTATCATCAAAGCTTTCAGAAACATCCCTGGAATTACTCTGCTTAAAGTAAACAAACTGAACATTTTGAAACTGATCCTGGTGGATATGTGGGCTGAGTCTCCATTTGGATTGAAGGTGCTTTACTTATGACCTCTGGAGTAAAGATGCCTCCCTCAAGAGTAACTACCACCATCTCATGCATAAGATGCCCAATACAGATCTGAGCAGCATCTTGAAAAGCCCAGAGACCCAAAGAGCCCACCAAGCACCACATAAAGTAGGTTTATCTGAAGAAGAGCTGGAAAATCTGAGAATCGTGTTGAAGCTAAGCCTCTATAAACCCCAGCCCATGCACTGGAACCCCATTCTTTTCAGACCAAGAACCACAGCTCGGGCTGGATAAAGCAGCAGCAGCAATGCTAGAAGCCAAAGCAGATGAGAAGGGGGCTCCAGGCAAGAAGCCTGTTGGTCTCACGAAGCAGAAGTCTTTGGTGGGAAAAGAGGCTGCAGCCAGCAAGAAACCAGCAACTCAGAAGCCTGCAGAGAGGAAACCCACCACAGAAGAGAAGAAACCTGTGGCATAAACTTAAATATGTTTATTCCATAAAGGCCGAATCACTTTGGACAGCTAATATTGATTAAACAAACAAATCAAAGGCAGTGAGGAACACACACCCACAAAAACAAAAACCTTCCCTATTGTGAAAAGTGAGCTAATATATGCAAAAGAGCATAGCCTGAGGCCCTTGGAACTCATTTTCCCTTCCACATCTTCTAAAGAAGCAAGATTCAAGTCACTCATGCAACGCTGCTCTCTTAGCTTTTGTTCAGAAAGAGATTCTGAACCGTCTTTATATGAACTTACACTTTGTCTAAGGAAGCACAAAAAGAGGTGAGATCATACCTTCACCATTAACTACTACACTTAGCTTCATATTTAAAATCTAATATCCATTTCTCCACTAAGAAGTTAATGAAAAGAATAATTCGATGCATTAACCTGCTCTTTCAACAAGCATTAATGATTAATGACTCAGCAAGCATTTTCTCCTCATTGCTAACCAGATAAAGAGGTAAGTATGGAGTCTGAACAAAACACAGTTGCTGCTGCCATGGAGTTTGCCAAGTTACCTTCCAGGGACATATTCTAGAAGAGACCCTGTACACAGGCACTACAATCACTACATTTTATTCAGTCACAGGACATTAAAAATGGCTTATGGTAAAAGCATAATGCGACGTTATGCAGTATCACTGACAAACACCTGTTTCCAATTTTTAACATTTTTTTTTTTTTTTTTAAAGAACAGTTTATTGATATTCAGAGAGGGAGAGAAAAAGTTTGGTGTGAGGGTACAAGATTGATCCATCAGCTGCCTCCTGCATATCCCCAACCGGTGATCAAGCCTAAAACTCAGGCATGGCCCTTGACCAGAAATCAAACCAGCAACCCCCTGGTGCACAGGATGATGCCCAACTAACTGAGCCACACCAGCCAGGGATGTTTCAAATGTTTAATACATGGAGATGCTGCAGTGAAATATACCACAGCAAAATAAGGCAGAAATCATCATGACCATTTTCCTCTGATATACCAACAAATATTTTGGAAGAAGAAAATGAAAAAGACAAGTTTTGTTTTAAATAAAAGAGATTTGAATAGATTTTTTTTTCAAAGATTCTTCACATTAAAATTTCAAACAGCCAGAATTTGGCCACTAAAAGAAATTTGCATTCATTGACTCTATTAGTGTTCATAGGGTCACATAATAAATGTTGGTAAGTCTGGATGCCAAATAAACACAGTTGAATTTTAAAGTGTTTAATGCATGTATTTTATTAAAATGGTGTCTTGCACTGCGATATGTGGTTTCAGTCTGTTCAGTTACTTAATAGATACATTTAAAACAATGGTCAAAGCAACAATTACATCAGCTCACTATAGAAAAGGATATACACCCAAGTAGCACTTTGGTAAATCATAAAACAAATGTGTACAAGAGCAATTCGGGAGAAATCACATTAATTTTGGACATACCAAGCTGCTATATTATGTACTGGAAGCCAGTGGCAGATGAGTCATTCTTGGAGGTGGGATAACTCCATGACCTCACAGCCCAGAACACTCGATATGACCATCAATGAACCGTTTCAACCATCTAACAACCAATGGGAGTTGCCAGAGAGCCAGCTGTTCTTCCAGATGCCAAACGCATCAGGCAGATCATCACAATCCAGCCTTTTATTTCTGCTTAAATCATCCAGATAAGTGAATCTAACAATAAACTGTAACCCAACAAAAATGTACGTCACTTTTCAGACATGGGCATGTGAACAATTGAAGTGCTAAAGGAAAATACATGTTGAATTGTTTGGTGCTAAACTTTACCATCCCTTCCCCCACCCTGCCTTGAAGCATTTTCTTACTGTCATATGACCATGAGATGAAATATTTGTCCATTCTTTGAAAGGAAACTGAATGTCCTGGCTGATATTTAACACTTAGCATACTCATTCCCTGCCAAGATTCTAAAAAAAAAAAAAAAAAAAAAAAAAAAAAAAGATAAATCAAATTTCTCTTTGAAAAAATAATTTCTATTTGGATTATGTGCTAGTAATTCTTCAAAGTAAGTAATTTTTTTAAGGTTGGAACTCAAGTATAAGTTCATATCATAGAGTATAGAGATTCAAAACTGATCCCTCCAAAACTATTTTTTTTTCAGGAAAAAAAAATAGCATCTGACTTCGAAGTACTTAAACAGAAAGATCTGTAACAAACAAACAGCTGATGCAAAGAAATACAGCATTTAGTTTTGAATGTGTAAGGTACTTAATTTGTGAAAAATCACAATTTCAAGATAATTTTGCCAAATAAATGTTGGCAAATAAAGTTTGGCAACACATTTTAGAAAGATGATTTATATACTACATATAAAAGAAAGGCAAACTTAAATACAAATTATTTAAGCTTAATTACATTAATATAATTTACACCATACCTAAACCCACGTGGTAATAGCCACATGGCAAATTTAATTATAACAACAAAAACACTATAAAAATCCTTTTATTTACTTCCATTTGCATAATTCCCAATAGTAGACCATCCATGTATGCTTATCTTTTATGAATTATAATAATCTGCAAATTGTCCTTCAACACTGTGGCTTGAAAAACAAACACAAGTATATTTCATGCCTTAGTCCAAGTTAACCATCCTGGAGTTTTAAAAGCTTTTGAGGTGAAGCACAGCAGAGCCTGACCAACCCTACAAATTTCCCTTTGTCAAACCTGGAACCCACCTCAATGCACTGGTGACTCATGTCACTCCCACCTTCAGTTTTTAAAGGAAAAGGAAAATGGTAATGTGAAGAATTCAAAACAAAAATGAAACTTACATCTCTAACTATCATTTTGTGCTTTAGAGTTTTTATTTCCTTATTAGTTTGGAAATGCTCCATATTCTGAAATGTAGGTTGCATATTTATGTTCCACGGATCTGATTCAAAAAGAACAAGGAAGTTTTCCAGCTCCCTCATCTACCTTGGAGTCCTCACTTCTCAGACAACAAATAGGAGACTATACCCTTTTCTGTGATATTTTCCTTTCTTTCACCAAACTTCCTTTGGAAAAAAAAATGAGATACTTCTTTACTATTTATGTTTTTTTGTATACAAAATTTTAACATAAGCTAGAAAACTCAAGATTCATTTTCTTCCATTTCCAAAAGAGGTGAGAGAATGTGAACAATATATGCTAGGTCTTCTTCCTTCTACTAAGCCTTCAGATAAAACTTAAAGAAAGAATAAAGGTCAACCCCCAAAACTGAGAGTTGAAGATATATACTACACCAAATTTATCTTTTTGGTTTTTCTTTTGTTTCTACAGCAAAACTCCATGTCATTCTTAACACCCAGTATTTTCCTACATCCTATTTTATAGGCAAATTACCATGTAACAACATAGCTTCAACATACTGGTTCTTCTCTGGTTTTCCACATAATCACCTACCATGAAATATCTCCTAGAGCCATTTTTAAAGTCACCTCACATGCTAATAACCATTGATTCTCCACTATTAAAACTGCCTTCAGTTTGTCAAGAGTCCCTAGATATAAACATCAATAATTTAAAGCTGTTGAAAGAGCTACACAGGATTGTTCCCTTTAAATTTTATGTCACTGCAAAATATACATATGTATATACACTCACACATATAACAAATTTACATTGTCTACAGAAATAAACTGCAGATATAATTCCAAACACACATTTAGAGAGTCACATTTTAACAGCAAACTTACATGTAAATATAAGGAAGTATAGTTTTATACTCCTACTTGAGGTCCAATGCACAAATTCATGCACAGGTAGGCCAGCAATCAAGGCCTATCAGGGGGCTGGCCATCCAGGGGGAGGGAACCTGGGAAGGTGGCCAACTGGCCCCCAAATCAGAGCCTATCAGGGGGCTGGCTGGCGGGGGGGGGGGGGGGGGGGGGGAAGGGGGGGGAAAGGACCACAGGAGATTGGCCAGCCAGATGGGGTAATGGACCATAGAAGCTTGGCTGTGAGAGCGCATTGACCACCAGGGGGCATCTCCTGTGTTGAGTGTCTGCCCCCTGGTGGTCAGTGGGCATCACAGCAACTAGTCGACTGGTCATTCCGGTCGTTCCAGTCATTCAGTTGTAACAGACGCTTAGGTTTTTATATATATAGGTATTACATAGCAAGCTGAAATATAGAATGCTTTAATGTTTTAGATTTATCCTTTCTTATGAATCTTAGAAATAAGCAAAAAGCTATGTACATACATACACGTGCGCGCATGCACGCACACACACACGTATATAGCAGTATCAGTCAATATGGTATTATTACTGACAAATTATCCAAATTGCTTAGTCTATACAAAAAGTGACATAAACATACTATATACAAAAAGAGTTAGAGACAACAAATGAAAACTTTATACAAGATACTTGATACCATTGGTATTTAACTTCAAATAGCTTTGACCAGAGGACTCAGCCTGTTCATTCTGTTCTGATATGAAAGAATAGTCATATCTCTATAATATTCTTAGCTACAAAATAGGAATGAATTGGGGGAGAAGGGTAACCTTGAGACAGTTGAAAAATATAAGTGCACTGTTTAGAAATATTAATGTGTATATAATTTAGCATGTCACATTATTTGAATTAATTTCTTTCGCATTGTTACATGGACCAGTTAAGTGGTCCAGAATACAAAATATAGTAACAGAGAACTCAGTTTTCACACTAATTCGTTGGTAAAGTTATTAAAAATTAATACATTTGCTGACAATACATTGAGGAATTGTGAAAAATATTGACTACTATTAAAGAATTTGAAGACAAGAACCTGTTCAAATGATTAAACAAAAGTGATCAAAAGAAACTCATAGCTGCCTAAGAGTTTTTAAAATTAGAAATGTAACACTCAACAAGTATATCAAACCACTTTTCATGAGCTCACTCAGCTTAGAGACCCACAGTAACTGAATTACACATATTTATACCAAGTGTGTACAGTTGAACATAAATATGACGGCTGTTCCTGACATGGTTGACGGTTAGGTAAATGGTTACTAAGTTTACACAAGCTTGTGTACTGATCTAGGAGTCACAGGTTTACTCTGGTACAGTTGACGGTTTTATCTAATCAGCTTCTTTATTTACTTAGTGAAAAACTGTTGCACAGAAACTTGAGGTCCCAGCCAGCACTCAGGCCCATCGCCCACTGGAGGCAAAGCCTCGGCTGAAGGAGAAGTTGATTTCGGAGTTCTTGTATTTCCCCCAAGCACCAAACGGCACCACAATGATAGTACTGTTGTCTTCGGCACCAAACAGCATTGCCTGCGGGGTTTGGCAGGAAGGAAGAGAAAAACACTGGAAATCAGAGTCTGTACAAAAAAGTATCCTCCTTCCTCTGGCAAGTCACACAGTTACTAACCCGATTATGTCAGTGTCTGTGATTCTTTCACGGGGTGTCAATGCCCAGTTTATTAGATTGCACATAGAATAACAAATGACCCAAAACAACCATATTGACTATATTCCACTGCAGCGATTTTGGCAACAGAAACACCAATGGACTAAGGTATAAGATATGCAGCTACTGAAGAAGAAAATATCTGTCAAGTATTTAGCACAGGAACTAATACAAGGTATAGATTCACAAGGTGTTAGTCCTTACCTAGCAATTCTTTTTCCAGGAATTTAGCCTAAAGAAATAATAACCTAAGGAAGTGGACATGTATAAAGTTATAACTACAAGAAAGTTTATGCTCCCTACAAAATGAAAAAGTGGCATAAACTAAATTTCATAGAGTAGGAGAACTATAAATCAATTTCAGGAACTAATTCAAATGGCAAATGAGATAGTCAGTATGGTTAAGAGATACTTGGGATTGAAGCAAATGTATTTCAAAAGACCTCACAGCCTCAGGCTGAAACTGTGAAGGAAAGGGTTGATCAAAATATCTGATGAAAAAGCTTCAGAAAGTAAAAAAGTTTTACAAACAAATTGAAAGACAGGAAAAAATGCACTATCAAAGTACTACAATAATTAATATATAGCAAGTTCTTACAATAATCATAAAAAAGGCAAGCATATATAATAATAAAAGTATAATTTGCTAATTAGACCGGACTGCGAGGGAAGCCCGGGTCCCAGGTGCCGGAGGGAAGCAGGTGCTGGCAGCCAGGGGAAGGAAGGCCTACTCTTGCACAAATTCTGTGCATCCGGCCTCTAGTATAAGATAATGGAAAAAGCAAGCTGTACACAGATGAGAAATACAAGCCATAAAACATACTAGAAAAGTGTAAATTGAAATATCTCTGAAGGGCAATTGGTAAAGATTAAAAGCTTTAGAATATTGTGCATTCTTTACCTAGCAATTTTTCTTATTAAGACTAACCTAAGAATACAATACCTGAAGAAAATAGATATGCACAAATAGATATAAGAAGTTTATTATAGTGTCCCTCATACAATGGAGGAAAGTGAATATAAACTAAATTTGCTGATTAGGGGAATTGTTAAAGGGCTTGTGGTACACAAATATAGTGGAATGCTGTGCAGTCATTGTAAATAGCATTGTCCTCATAAATTAGAACACATTATATCAAGAGAGGAAGTTCAAAATTAGGAAAGAAGTGATCATCAATGAAACTGGGCCCATTTTCTTAATCGAATGAGCACACATAATAACCAAGTGAATAATTTCTGCTTACCCATTTATTTTTGAGCAAATAATGCTTTTTTTTTAGTAATGTCTTTACTGTCTTAATTACAAATACTAATACTTAAAATGTGGGCCATGCTGCTCTCTATGTCCCATCACTTCATTCATGAACTTGCTTTCACTTTAAACTCTAAACAAAAGTTTGGACCAAATTTGACTCCAGAATTGAAAATGTAAAAAATCAGGAAATGCCAAAATAGCTGTTGAATTAAACTGTGCCTCTAATGATCGGTAATGGCTCTAACTTAAAAAGTTACCCAAAAAGAATATTACACAACACGTGAAAATTTTTTGTTTTCTCTACTGGTATTATCCAGCTTCTAAATTTTAGCTCTGACCAACACAGTGGCATACAACACATCCACACATTTTTTTGTACTTTTTTTTCACATCCATCCTCAGAAGCCAGAAGTTGACCTGCTATAGTGTTTCTGTATTGGGTAATTATTTGGAGAGTCTAATTTAATGGTCAAGGGATTAGACTTGGGAAACTGGCAGTCCAAATTGCTTAGTCTATACAAATTGCTTCGTCTATAGTTTGAAGCCCAACCGACAACAAATATTCTGCGGCTTAATGGTTTTGTGGTCTTGACTAAATCAATTTAACCTGCGTGCCTCAGTTTCCTTCATTCATGAGAAAGAGATAATGCTAGTTCCAACCTTAGAAAATCATGGTGATAATTAATGAGTCAAACACCATATCAACAGAAGAGTATCTGATACATAGTAAGCAATATTAGTATTTAATATTATAATTTACTATGTGCTGTTACTATTATTTCAAGATGTGTACAAAGCCAAAAAATAAACATAGCACATTTTCTTGGCAAATTAATTTTACTTAACTATTTGGGAGACTTGTAAAAAATGTTATTTGTTGTGTTTGTGTTTCTTTAAATATATTTTTATTGATCTCAGAGAGGAAGAGAGAGGAAGAAAGAGAAACATCAATGATGAGAAGGGAATCATTGATCAGCTGCCTCCTGCATACTCCCTACTGAGGATTGAGCCCACAACCCAAGCACATGCCCTTGACTGGAATCCAACCCAGGGCCCTTCTCTTTCTTCCTCTAGTCAATTTTACACTTGATCTGTAATATTTCCAGTTTAAAACATTTTTACGCCCAAAGGGCTAGGGCGTAAAAATGTTTTAAACTGGAAATATTACCGAGTCGAGTGTAAAATTCATTGTACACTGGAGCTGAAACATAAGATTCAAAGAAATCAATCTGTGGTGGCCCCTCCAGGCTGTACCAAAACCTGTACCTGGGGTTGTCCTTCTCTCCCTCCCCACCCACCTTCCCCAGGGGACTTTTGTAGCAGAAGCTCAGCTGTATCACCTGTTCAGTCACTGCATGGGCCGCTTCAGTGGGATCATGGCACTGATTGACAAAGTCACAAATTTCTTGACTGTTCACTATAAAATTAATTCCATCCGTAGTAAGGACCAAGAAGCTGTCATGGGCATGATGTAGCTGCAATAAAACCAAATTCATAGGATTATAAACTACACTTGGCCTTGGAGTGATCATGATTAGATTTGTTTGCTGAGTGGTCATCCGTGTTTACAGCTTGTAGGCAAACAGAGTGAAAATGGAAGGCTTGTATTTAGGGCAAAAGTAGCAACATTTAGCTTCAACCACCAAGGACAAACCTAACATTTCCTTAGTAACACCACAAAGGAAGCAGCCAGCTGGCAGGGTGCCAGGAGCCGCAAGCTGTAATGGTGGAAAGCACCTTCTCTGGAGCCAGGCTTCCAGTTTGAGTTTGAAACCTGCCTCTATTTTTCTGCTGAGCAAGCAGAGGTAAGCTGGGCTCCATATGCTCTCGATCCCTTTTCTCTATAAAATGGGGCGGCAGTAGCTATTTTGAACAGAGCCTGACACGTAGCAAACACGATGTAAGTATTTCAGAGAAAATCAGTATAAATGGGCTACCTATAATGCATGAAACGGTTCTGTTAATGAACAAACGTTTGCTACCATTACTGGCAGCCTCTGCTACACTGTGCCAGGTACTAGCACGTGAAGGGATTGCAGAGAGCGAAGTGTTGGGACATGTCGGGTAATGTGGACATTAATTAGTATCACAGGATGTCACAGAAATTGAGATGAAGCGATTCTTTAGCGTGGTGGGAAGGAAACAGGTTAGCTCCCAGGTGGCGGTGAAGCTAAGTGAGCAATCGGGTGCCCGTGGGGAAGAGCAGGGAAGCCACATTCTGCGGTAATCCCACATCGGGGTGGAACCAAAACCAAACACACCATCACACAGTGGGCTTGGAAGGTGGTGTCTTGTGTTCTCTGAAAAGTTTCTCTATCCTTCCATTAACGACTCCCTTTTAAAAGTTACTGGCTTCACTTAAGGTTTCCAAGAAAGCCTGTAGCCGGAGACACCTGCTTTCATTCCTTGCGTGTGTAGCAAGTGTTTGCACGTCCTTTCCTACCTTAATCCTCTTTGTTTCGGGTTCTGCTATCACACCGCTGCTTTTAAGATCCAAGTCTCCGAGACTCCTCGTCATCGCAAGTCTGCCATTCACATGAGGCTGGCCCAAACTATTCCACGCTACAAAACCGCCACATTTCTTGATCCTGATCAAGAAAAGGTTAAAACCAGAAAACAAGGCACAGTTAAATTTAAGCATGAAGTCAGTTTAAATGCCAGGTTTGGTATCTATGGAGTAGACATAAAAAGCATCCTCATCAGTTGGAGGTGGTACCTTTCTTTTTCATCTTTTCTTTCCGGAGTATGGTCAATGGTCAGCTTGATGGATTTTCCTTTTCTACACAAAATAGCCCGGCTGTCCCCAACACTGGCTACAACCAGTTCAATACCGTCTCTCAACAGGGCTACTGTTGCAGTAGTCCCAGAGGTCATAACGGTTGCTGAAAACATTATGAAGAAGAATGCAAGTTATTGACAGTCAAATGATCCGATACGAAATTTTCATTACAAAATAAAACACAGGCATGTTAGACTAATTCTGAAATATACCGCTGTAATTTAACTAGGGCTATGGCAAGTGAAAAGCAAATGAACTATGTAAGTAAGAGCATGCAGAGAAAGGAGTATTGGATTCAGTGACAAGGCTCCATGCAAACAGAAAAAGTGGCTGTCCTGATTGGGAAATAATGCATCACTGTCCCCAGATGGCCTCTATTTAGAACAAGTAGAGCTGAGATAGTTTATTATAATAACATTATGACACTTTTGTGTATACATCAGGCATCAGAATTAAAAGCATTACAATTTAATTAGATTGGCTAAAAAGTTAGGATGGCTTAGGTCTACTGAGCCCATTCAGGCAAGCCGACTTTTCTATAATCTATGGACTCAGATGTTTTCTCTTTCATTTCTTACTCCTATCCTGTGGAAATAATATTATCGATAGTAAACAGGCTAAGCAAATATGCCATGGGCATATCGTTTGCTCTCCAAGAGCTATATTTTATATTCTTACCTTCTACAACTATTTCAATTTTACAATTGTTTACCCCAAAAAAATCTAAAATAGTTGAAGACCTGGCCTTTTCTGTTTATCCTTGTGGTACCAGCCATGAAACAAAGTTATGGCCATCATTTTATTAGGAGAAAATTGAGGGGAAGGATGAAATTCATTCTGGTTTCCCATAAGCTGGGTGCAGTTAACACTCCAGAAAGATCGAACACAATCCATCTTTGTCCAAATGCAGGACAGCACTGCCAAGGGCTCCTCCTGTGGTTATTCCCTGAGCCCAGAGCATTCCAAGAATGTTAATTTTCTGTGACCAATAACGAAATCAAATGTTACATGGCTTGAGGTCACCACTATTTCCTCCATCCCATCCTAACTGCATTTTTTTTTTCATCTTCCTTTGACTTTTTCTAACTGTGTCTGCTCTGTTTATTACCACTTGGGGAGGGGGGGGGGGGGAGAATTAAGGTGCATTGAGCCTTGCCAAAGAGAGAATAGGGTAACATTATGAGCTAAAAACTAAAACAAACTGGAAGAAATGAAATAAAATAAAAACATTTAAAGCAGGTATTGTCTTTTGTAATGTGGTTAATTCTTTAGAGCAGTGTTTTTCAACCTTTTTTGGGCAAAGGCACACTTGTTTCATGAAAAAAATCACGAGGCACACCACCATTAGAAAATGTTAAAAAATTTAACTCTGTGCCTATATTGACTATATATAAAGTAATTCTCTTGAATAGGAATCAAATAAACACAAAGAAAGTATTTTATAATTACTTTATTATGAAATATTAAGTAAACAAAATAGTGAAAAATTATAAAATTCTTGTCTTGTCTGCACCTACGGCACACCAGGCAACATCTGTGCCGCGGAACAGCGGTTGAAAAACGCTGCTTTAGAGCACCTATATAAAATATTCAGGTGATAATCCAAAGATGATTTTTACTTCAACGGTAGATTTAGGAAAAATGAAGTGATATTGATTTCACTAACTGAAGCTCAATCTTGACTTTTTTTTAAGAGATAATTTTAGCCGAAACCAGTTTGGCTCAGTGGTAGAGCGTTGGTCTGCGGACTGAAAGGTCCCAAGTTCAATTCCAGTCAAGGGCATGTACATTGGTTGCGGGCACATTCCCGGTAGGGAATATGCAAGAGGCAGCTGGTCGATGTTTCTCTCATTGACATATCTAACTCTCTATCTCTCTCCCTTCCTCCTCTCTGTGAAATATCAATAAAAATATATTTTTTTAAAAAAAGAGATAATTTTAAAAACTTCATCAATAATTCACTTTTGGAAAGATATATATTCCAATCAGTTTATTAATGCCTGCTTTAATCAATAAAGTAAAATGGAGAAAGATGAATAAAGCCTACTTTAACCTTTTATATCCATGCTGAATTAACTGAGAAATAGCATTTATAGTTCTACTATCTTGCCATGTGTCTGTTGATTTTGGAACTGTTGTGTCAAAGCCACAATATCTTGGCAATGCTAAATTGTATTCGTCACTGTATGACATAAAATCAGTGATATTTTTATTACAAATGTTAATTAGAGTTTTCCAAACACTATAAAATAGAATCATGAGAGTTTAATGGCTGTACTATTTTCAAATTATTGGAAGAGCCTGGCAAGGGAACAGCAGAGGTGTTTTATTGACTCAGATGCTACCTGTCCAGGGAGATTAGTTACCTCTCCTTTGTTTAAACTGTCAGCGGCAGCTTTTTGAAAAGTACCTTTTAATTGGCTGCATCAAAAGAATTAAAGTTTCATAAAGGACAATTTCAAGTTTAGCTGTTCAGGATTATAATCCATGGCTCTGCTACCTAGGAATTTCAAAGAGCTTATGTTTTCACCAACCCAGCTTCACAGTTCCAAAATCCAAGGGTTTAAGGGAAAGTTTTCAAAACTAACTGCTGGTTTGGGTTTGCTAAGCATCTAAGAATATAAATATTAAATCAACATTTACTTTATTTAACATTTAATATAGAAATAAAAATTCTCACTTTTTGCCCTAACAACAAAACTATAAAACTAAGGCATCTTTCAATTAAGTTCTTAACACTCACTGGACATTTCCTACTGCAAGTCATCTCAACTAATGGGGCAAAGAGGCTGTGGGAACCTTCCAGTAGTCCAGGCTAGGAACCGCTGGACTCCTTCGCCTGGGACAAAATTAAGCTGGTCTCTCTTTCCACTGAAGCCCAGCGTATAGTGTCCACGGGCTCCAGGTCTAGAGCTGCTGCCCAGGCACAGTTCTCTGCCACAAATAACACGCACAGAGGCAAATAGGAAATTCACCCAGGAATTGTGCTCAGACATTACAAACCTGCAACACAGGGGAGGGCAGAGAAAGAGCTGCAAAATAAGGGGAAGGGTTTTTATGTTGGTGAACGCTTCACTTGCAGATTACATAATATTCCAGGAGATGCCAAATCCAAGATTCCAAAACTCAGTTTGCACGTGTTGATGGTATTTTGTAGTCAAGTCTATTTTCTCATCACAGAGTTACCCTGTTTCGTTTTGTGGCTTCCCAAGGTAGGAAAAGCCATCTACAAAGGCTCGTGTACCAAAACACACAAGTGGTGATGCAGACACACATCTGCATACGCTCTCACACAACACACACCAGCCTGGAAGAGGAAAGCAGTAGCTTTATTGGCTTGGGAAAAAATGCACTGCATGTTCGTTTGGTAGCAATATCAGAACCGTCTCAAAATCAGAAAGGAAAATTCAAAGTCTAGCACTGAATACAGTATTTGTTGTATCTGACAAACAGTACATAGTTGGAGAAGATGTGAACCACAATATACCACCAAGTTACTGAGATTGAAATGTATACATAGCAAGGAGGGATCAAAGCACCTCCTATACCAGATACAAAGAGATTCGTATCTCTTTGTTAATGGAGCTCAATGCAGGGGTTTAGTATCTAAAAGCCCTTTTTTTCTTCAGTAGGATGATTGTTTAAATTAGGGGTGTCGAACTCAATCAGAGAAGGGGCCAAAATCTAAAATCCAGCCTAAATCACGGGCCGAATGGTTTACTGAACAGTCATAAACTGTCATTGTGATGGAAACACAGCGGAGTGCAGTGATGACAGCGCGGTGCGGGCCACATTGCAAGGCCTGGCGGGACGGATTTGGCCCGAGGGCCTTGTGTTTGACACATGTGGTTTAAATAAAGGCTAGTGGAGCTCTTGAGCTTTATATAATTCATAAAGTGGTGTCTCTGCAGCTCTCTCTTTCTCCCAGTGTTGCAGGTCAACATATCAAAACAAAAATGATCAAGATTTTGAATGGCAACAGAAAGAGTAAAAGCTGTACTGTTCAAGGCATGACTCCCATCCCTCCCCCCCCCCCCCCCCCCGGTAATTATGCAACTGGTAATTAAGCACTATGTATAGACCAATACAGTTTCAATATTTATTTAAAATGGGTGTTCCGGACATGTGTGACTCATGAACACCAAAATCAAACAGCACAGTAAGAGTATCTCTTCAGTGCCATCCCTCTATTTTTTCTCTTTTGGCTACCCTAGCATAAGAAGGGTACTCTAAAGCATTGCCTTTCTAACAGCGGCCGTGTTGTAGGCAAATTCTTCCATAAAGAGGTCACAGTATGAAGAGCATGGAAGTTTCCGGTGAGACTCACAATGCTGTCACCATCTCCAACTCTGAACGTCAGAGCAAGTCTTCCCGTTTTTATCCATTTGTCTCTTGAGAAGTTTTGCTTTCAAACCTTAAGCAATCTAGAAACACTCTGAGGAGTTCATAGGATATACAGAATTACAATCTAAGTTTTCTACCATCTGGTTTAAGTGTCAGTTTCATAAGCAATAGACTAATGGAATCATTTGAATGTACCTGCTGGTTAATTAGTAAAATATACATGACTAGTGTAAATGGAACATAAAATTTTCAAAGATGATGATGAAATTAATTATGTGCAAATAAGGGTAAATTAAAAATTTGTCAATAAATCAATAAAAATAGCAAACAATTTATTAGGGGCTAGAGTCTTGCCATTTCATCATAAGTGGCATTCTGATTTTATTTTCAAACTACCCCCATTTAAACTAAAATAGTAAATATTTTAAGTGCTAATGGGGTCATTTGAAGTACTAGTACTTAATGCAGATGTGACAGTTTGAGAATAGTCTTTTTTTTTCTTTTTTTTTTAAATCAATTGGTTGCCTCCCATATGGGCAACTTAGGTATGTGCCTGACTGGGAATTGAACCTGAGACCTTTTGGTCCACAGTACAATGTTCCAACCAACTGAGCCAGGGCTGGATTAAAGTCTTAATGAGAATGTTTTATTTTTACTCTATTTTCACTTTCTCTTAAGAAAGCTAATGTAGTATGATTGAGGGGCACTCCTCTCATTTATACCTGAAATTCCAATATTAGTAATTCATTCCTATGAGTAAACCAATCTTTTTTCAGGTTTTCCCTACTTAAAATTCAAATCCAATCAGGAGTGAAAACTCATTGAAACATATGCATTATACTAATATTTTGTTAAATTAGCTATAGAATAATCAAGGAATAAATTATAAGGACTTTGGTGAGGGCGAGTAGGCAGTGGGGATCAGTTAGATCCAATCAAGTACCTTCCAGATTCTATGCAGGGTCCTGAACAATGGAAAGTCAACCCGGAATCAGCATGGTCCCTAACTGCAAGCTACTGACAGGAAGCATTAAAGGAGAAAATGGGGCTGATGCTCAAAGAAAAGGTGAAAGAAACTGGAGAGGGCAAACTGCAATTACTTCACAATTTTACGTAACTAATACTGGTCCTACCCATATTAATGTCGAAAAGAATAATGTCGCCCGGCCAGCGTGGTTGAGCATCGACCTATGAACCAGGAGGTCACAGTTCCATGCCTGGTCAGGACACATGCCTGGGTTTCGGACTCGATCCCCAATAGAGGGTATGCAGGATGCAGCCAATCAATGATTCTCTCTCATTGTTGGTGTTTCTATCTATTTCTCCCCCTCTCTTCCTTTCTGAAATCAAAAATGTGTATATTTTTAAAAATAATATTGCCCACTCTTATAATTCTTATAATACTGACACTGCTTTAGTTCTTACTTAAAACTAAATAATAATAATAATAATAATAATAATAATTAATTTAAATAATAGCTTTGAAATTTGAAATGGCCTAAGGGTTTTCTTAATCCAAAAAATTGAAAAGTTAAACAACATAAAGTGTTCTATATTTAGTAGCTTTAATACATTTGATAAAATAGGCCCCAAATGTCTACTGGCAATTTTTGCCATTTTTTAAAGCCTTGGCATCTTATTAGGAATTTTAAAGTTGTTCTTAAAGTACTTACTAAAAAATACAGACTATTCCATCTATAAAAATACAAAATAAGATTTTAAAAAAACAATACCATAATAGACCTTATTTCTTTTAATAATAGACTAAGCATTACTCTGACTTGCTCCATTACACTTGCAAACAAATAGACATTAAATAAAAAAATAAATTTTAGAATATTATTAAATTTTTAAAAATTGATTTTAGAGAGATGAAGAGAGAGGAACATGGATTTGTCGTTCCGTTTATCTATGCTTTCATCTGTTGATTTTTGTAAATGTCTTGCCCAGGAATCAAACTTGCAACCTTGGCATATTAGGAGATGCTTTAACCAACTGAACTAACCAGCTAAGGCTGAAAGTTCTTATCATTAACTCAAAGCATATGACAGAGGAGCTAAATTAAATACATACATTTTAATTTCATTATTAGAAATGGATTGCATTTTTTACAATTAATTTCTTTGAACAACCTCTAATAATATGAGAAAGGCATCATTAGTAAGTTTCTTTTAAGGTCAGCAAGTTAAGTAAATTCTCTCCCTAAATTCTGAATTTCCTTTAGTTATAATTTATTATTTAGTAAATGACTGGGGCCTGACAGGCATAGCTCAATGGTTGAGCATTGATTTATTAACCAGGAAGTCTGGGTTCAATTCAGGGCACATGCCCCAGTTGCAGGTTTGATCCCCAACTGGGGGTGTGCAGGAGGCAACCTATCAATGATTCTCATCATTAATACTTCTATCTCTCTCTTCTTCCCTCCTCTCTGAAATCAATAAAAATATATTTAAAAAGTAAATGACTGGGGTCTTTTACTTAACACTGAATCTATTATTGTTTTCTTTGTTGATTAGGTCATTTACAAAAGGGCTGGGCTGGCTGCACCCATGAAGGATTTATGTTTTGGATTGCTGTCCACATTCCCATGTTGAACTTGAACATTCTCTTCTGAAAACTTTGCCCAGTAAGTTCTGCCTGTTTATAGAACAACTAGGGCACACCACCTGCACCATAGCTGGTAAACATCGTGGTATTAGATATAGCCAATCTAGTTATATACTAACTAGGAAATAAACATACAACATTTATACCAATTTTCAGAGTTATAGAAATTAAGTGATCAGAAAGTGTTTTAATGTCCTCTGTTCATTCATATATTTTACCCATTAAGAATAGTTTTATGCCTAAAATTTACCTTCTCTTGACCCCTATTTTTCATAAGATGAGGAACCAACTAGAAGGAAGAAAAGCCCAAAGGAATAAAGGGGAAAATTAGCCTGAATGAATCCCTGAACAAAGAGGAACTCTAATGCTTTTCTGAGGCTTATGACAATGAAAAGTTTCTCAAAAATGAGGGGGGAAGCCCTGGCCAGGAAGGTCAGTTGGTTAGAGCATCATCCATCCAGATACACCAAACTGAGAGTTTGATCCCCAAAGAAGCAACCAATGAATGCATAAATAAGTGAAACAACAAATCAATGTTTCTCTCTCTCTCTCCCGCTCATACCGGTATCAATTTTTTTTTTTTTAAAGCAGGAAATCCTCTTAATGAGTCATCCTAGAGACATTTGCTCTAGTCCTCATCAATAAATATGCCCAGGAGAGAGGCCACAGTGGGTGCCAGGAAAACCCCAGCAACTGCCCTTTGTCTCTCCCTGAGTTTCAGTTTCAGTTTCTTATCTTGGAAATGGGGGGAATTGCCATTTCCAGGCATTCCAACAGAAAATTATGAAAATGACATTTCTGTGGTGCACTTTAAACAAAAGGATGAACCAAACATAAATTAATATTATTGCATGATCCATTTTCATTCTACATGCATACATTTATATGGTTGTTGCAGAAGTTTTTGAAATTAACTTTATAAGCAAAAACTATGGGAGCCGGCTAACTAGAAAACATTAACTATGTTTTCTGAAATGGTTTTGATAAATTTAATCAAAATCCGAAACATTTACGTACTTTCAGTACTTAAGAACAAGCAACTCACAAAATTTTAAATTCACCTTGTGTTTAACACAAAAACAAAATGTCACTAGCTACAACAGGAAAGCTGCAAGATCAAGTTTTTTTTAAGGAGGAGGAGAATAATATCTTCATTCCAATTATACAAAGTAGTATGTGCTAGTCATTGTCTTTTCCTGTCTAGAACCAATTAGCTATTTTCTCCTTGCTTGACTAATAACTGTCCTGATTAGAAGAGATTACTGTGTAGTGTATTTCAATTATTTGTTCATCAAATTCATCTAAACAAAAATAGTCCCTCTCATAGCATGGATATCTTGTCCATAAAATATGAAAACAGATAAAAGTTTTTAAAAATAATTTAAAGTTAAAATTCAATATCAGAACCATTTGGAAGCTTCCATTTCCAAAAAAATTATCAAATATACATATTTCATTTAAAACTGAGGTACTATCATTAGTTTAAATTCCAAACAGCATTTAAAATGATTCTTTATATAAAATCATTTTCTACATAAAAATTTTTACGAGGAAAGTTCCATTAAAATTCCCCACCCCTGAAGAGCTTAAATTGTTTCCATTTTATCCAGATATTCCCCAGAACGGTAAGGAATGTGATTGTTTTACTTACCATCAGCAGACAGATGGGCATGCCTCCCAAAGGCTTTATCTATTTCTAGAAAAGCCAAGGTCAACACGGTTTCCAAGTTCTTCTCCTTAGGAAGCAAATCCCTTCGTGGAGAGGGGAAAAAAGAGGCCCAAAACATCAATTTACAACAATCGTCCTCGTCTCCTCTCCTTCAGGTCATTCTAGCTAGCAGTCACTGCCTACAGTGGACCTCCATGGCTTGCCTCTGAGGCGATCAAAGTGTCTCTAGGAGAGAGGCATAGTGATAAAGCCTCTAAGGACACTTAAACAAAAGTCCAAGCTCCCATATTAACAGATTAACCATTACTGCAGTTACTTACTAGTATGTGCAGTACATAATACTTGATAATGATAATAAACAACTGTTAATGGATTTACTATTCTATGCTTCTTATTTTAGAGTATACTCTTTTTATGTATCAAAAATAAGTTTTCTGTAAAATAGTAACCATGTTACACCAGCAGCAGCCTCATACATCTCATACTAAGCCTCATACCTCTCATACTACCCTGAAAGGTCAAGTTCTTTCTTATTAAACTAAGTCACAGAGTTCTTCTGCAGAATAAGGCAAAATATGCTTAAATCAACTAATGAACAGTAAACACAGGAAGACAAGAAACAGTCATAGCCACAACTCTGTCACATGTTTCCCCCCCTCTTTTAATGCTAGCAATAGTGTGGTCCTCAAAAATACATTATACTAATTGCATTAAATAAACTATGTAAAGGGCTCCAAAACACCCACATTAAATGCATTTCCCCATACTAATGCCAATTATCTAAAGCCATTTTCAACAAGTGTTCAAAGCTATTCATGCCCCTTGAGAGTATAATTACTACTTATTGAAGCACTAAGTGCCATGTAGTAGTAAAATGCTTTTGATCGGTTCTTATATGTTAGTTCACTTGAAATAATCACAACTCATGTACCATGAGTTCTGGCTGTTAAAAGAAGCAATAGGCCCAAAATGGAGTCACTTGTGGCTAAGCCCATATCACCAAAACAAGGCTTAACACCTAAGTCAATTGCAGTTCCAACCTTTCCCAGAAATAATAATCTTAACTGGTCAGTCTGGAATTTTCTGGTTAGCACAAACGAGGTAACCTTCATACAGGCTCTTTCCATTAGTCAGAGGAAGAAGTAGTCTGCTCTTTCCTTATCCCTTTTCCCCTCTACCTACAAAGCCTTCCATTTGGTTTCATTTCCTGGGAGCACCTTTTTATTTGCTAGATGGGATGCTAGATTCAGGAATCGCTCAATAAAGCCAATTAGATATTTTAAATGTGCTCTGTTGATTTTTTGTTATTTAACGTGGTCAATGCTATCACCAGGGAAGTTGTCGAAACATACATTTCTGAAATGGTAATAGTCATCAGTAATAAAGGGTATGTTTAAGCTAGTTCTTATTGATGAAACAATTATAAAACCACTCAAATAACTACATTAAGACTGAACATCTTGCCGAAACCGGTTTGGCTCAATGGATAGAGTATCGGCCTGCGGACTGAAGGGTCCCAGGTTTGATTTGGTCAAGGGCATGTGCCTTGGTTGCGGGCACTTCCCCAGTAGGGGGTGTGCAAGAGGCAGCTGATCGATGATTCTCTCTCGTCGATGTTTCTAACTCTCTGTAAAAAATCAATATATATATATATATATATATATATATATATTTTTTTTTTTTTTTTTTTAAAGACTGAACATCTTAGCCAAAAGGTTAAAGTTTAAACATAAAGGCAAACTGCAAACTCAAGAGTGAAAAGTCACTGTACGTACATGATGCATTTCTCCATGTGGGTGTGACAGAAATCAGCAGCTGCAGGCCCACCGTGTCCATCATAAACAGCAAAATACAGGACCTCATCGGTCAGCTGGGCAAAGTCAAATCTATCTTCATTCTCTTTCCGTTTGCCAATCTGTGAGGCACAGCCCACCTTTTCCAAGCTGATTTTGGGTATTGGCTTGCCATACTTAATGCTGGGTGGTAGCAGAATTGGCTCATCAATGCGGTTATCCCAGATGCCAAAATTATCCCAGGTAGCTGGACGCCCACTACCATCTGAGTCAAACCGAGAACACCTGGGCTCTGACGTGGAGCTGTGGCAGGTGGGTGTCACCCGCCGGTCATCCTGCAGCAGGCGGGAGCTTAGCAGCACTCTCCTTCTCACCTGGCTCCCACCACTTCTCACCAAAGTCATTAAAGCAGCTGTTGACATAACTCAAATCCAAAGGACTCAGTAGTCAGGGGAAGGTCAATGAACAATAATGGAATGTCTTCAAGAAAAATGATGCAACTAAATGAAAAGAAAGTGAGAGAGACTCCATCAGCAATTTTGAATGTAACTGATATATTATGAGATTACCAAAAATGAAGGCATTAAAGAATGTGGCGCCTAACAGCCAACTTCTAAAAGTAGCAGACCAAAAATGACCCACTATTTTCCCCATTCAGAGCTTAACTTCCATAAAAATTTAACAATGTGCACTTATCATATAGAATCAAGCTTTGACCTACAATCACCTTGGGAACTAGTTAAAATGCACTGGCTCAGTCTGGGTGTGTGAGGGCCCACGATTCTGCATTTCTAACCAGCTCCCTGGGGATGCCTGCCTGGTCCAGCAGGCCGACACTTTAAGTAGCAGGATTATAGGATACAGAGATAAATAAATGTTCTCCCCATCATTAACTCCATCGTTCTGAAGAAAAGGGACAAATATTACTAACAAAGTTTCTTACAAGCTTTGAGATAGAAATAAGAGAAGAAAAATAACTGGTTAATCGAATGTTTATGATAGTTCTGTACCCAAAGAGTGTCCCAGTCTCAGCAAAGACACACTTAGGATCTAAGCTTTGTTATGTTTCAAGATTTCTCCATTTACTAAACTTGACATATGTACATTGGTTCATGCAAACACTCCCGGAGGCACAGGAAAAGCCAGTTCTTATGTTTCCCTTTGTGGTAGATACCCCCAGGGAAGGTGTGTCATCTCGGGATTGAGGCGCATACATTTGTGACCAGCAACCCTGATTTATGAGCAACTGATCTGTGCATTTACATTAAGGGTTGCTGCCGAAGCCGGTTTGGCTCAGTGGTAGAGCGTTGGTCTGTGGACTGAAAGGTCCTGGGTTCAATTCCAGTCAAGGGCATGTACATTGGTTGCGGGCACATCCCCGGTGGGGGGTGTGCAGGAGGCAGCTGGTCAATGTTTCTCTCTCATCGACGTTTCTAACTCTCTATCTCTCTTCCTCTCTGCAAAAAATCAATAAAATATATTAAAAAAAAAAAAAAAAGAGTTGCGGCTCTCCCCTCACACAGCCCCAGGAGCCCACCCACACTCATGCCTGCAACGACAGCAGGAGACAACATTTCTTTGAGATGTTTATTCTGCACCCCCACTTCTGGACTCTGTCCCAAAGCTAATCCTAAAACTTCCTCCGGGTATGGTCAGGGGGAATTTATACACCACAGGTTGAGAACCAATAGCAGGGCTGCCCAAGACCATCGGAAAACACAGATATTTACATTACGATTCATTCCAGTAGCAAAATTACAGTTATGAAGTAGCAATGAAAATAATTTTATGGTTGGGGGCCACCACAACATGAGAAAATGTATTAAAGGGTCGCGGCATTAGAAAGATTGAGAACCACTGCGCAGGAAGAGCTGTTTCTGGCAGTTTTCCATACAAAACAAGTTCTAAGCAGAAATCCATCTCCATAGTACTTTGTTCTGTTATTTTATTAATTGAAAAGATAGCATGAAGTTAAGATTTAATCGTGGCAATGGAGGGTATACAGATGTTATATTATTCTCAATTGTATGTTTGAATAATTTCACAATAAAAAATGAATTTGAAAAAGTAGATTTCCCCAAAAGGCACAAACATACACAATAAAAACAAGCCCAGTTGAGTGAATTTATAAGAAAAGGTGTTTAGAGATTTTTGGAAATCAATGTAGCTATGTTTAAGAGGAGGCAGACACTCAACACAGGAGCTGCCCCTGGTGTCACTGCTCACCCACAAGCCAGGCTGATGGCTGGCAAGCACAGCAGTGGTGGCAGGAGCCTCTCCCACCTCCCAGCAGTCCTAAGGATGTCCAACTGAAGGCCCACTCCACACAGGGAGTGGGCCTAAGCCATCTGTAGGACATCCACCAAGGGCTCCCTAAAGGGTACATACAGGTCAGACTGAGGGACCCCTCTCCCCCTTCAGTGTACAAATGTCAGTGCACCAGGCCTCTAGTGTTATAATAAAAAACTTAGAAGGCCATCCCTTCTTGGCCTTTTAGCTGATATCCTATCTAATAAAAGAGCAATATGCAAATTGACTGTCACTCCAACGTACAAGATGGCTATCCCCATGAGGAAACAAGATGGCTGCCACAAGATGGCCAGCAGGGAAGGGCAGTTGGGAGGAACCAGGCCTGCAGGGGAGAGCAGTTGGGTGCAATCAGGCCAGCAGGGGAGGGCAGTTGGGGGCAATCAAGCCTGCAAGGGAGGGCAGTTGGGGGTGACCAGGCCTGCAGGGGAGGGCAGTTAGGCACAATCAGGCTGGCAGAGGAGCAGTTAGGTATCAATCAGGCTGGCAGGGGAGGGATTAGGGGGTGATCAGGCTGGCAGGCAGAAATGGTTAGGGGCAATCAGGAAGGCAGGCAGGTGAATAGTTGGGAGCCAGCAGTCCTGGATTGTGAGAGGGGTCCCAGATTGGAGAGGGTGCAGGCTGGGCTGAGGGACACATACACCCCCGTGCATAAATTTCATGCACTAGGCCTCTAGTCATGTATAAAAGACTGAAATTCACTTCTTTTATGACAATGTTTTGAGGTGGTGGAGACAGCATCTCTGATTATCAAGTATCTAAGAGAAGTAACACATTCCATTGCAAAAAAAAGAGGCATTTATTCCTTCACTTCTCATTGAAGGTTATATTTTATTCAGTTACAATAACTGTCAAATAAATGTGATGATTTGTGGAGAAATGTCAAACTAGCAAGTAAGAGAACTAAGTACTACTTATTGGTAGAGATAATTCACAAAGCACCTTTATTACATCTAGAAAAAAGTAAAAACTTTAAGTGCATTGATGAGCAAGCTCATTCATTTTGAAGAGTGCACCAAATATTAGCAAAGTACTCTTTTGGTTTCAGTCTGAAAGCATGTATGCTATATTCAGCCTTAGGCCATTTTGCAGTCTCATGCACCTACTTCAAACAATTCTAAAATTACAAACAATATTCAATAAAGTCATTCTGCAGTTTTTATGGGATACTCTTGTCCCCCCTTTCTCTATCTTCCAAATATAATAAATAAATAAATAAATAAATAAATAAATAAATAAAGTAAAACAGGGAACAAATATCCATTGAAAGCATTATTATTTTTTTAATATACTTTATTGATTTTTTACAGAGAGGAAGGGAGAGAGATAGAGAGATAGAAACGTCGATGAGAGAGAAACATTGACCAGTTGCCTCTTGCACACCCCCCACCGGGGATATGCCCACAACCAATGTACATGCCCTTGACCGGAATCGAACCTGGGACCTTTCAGTCCGCAGACCGACGCTCTACCACTGAGCCAAACCAGTTTCGGCTGAAAGCATTATTAAAGAATGAAATAAAATGCAAGTTGGGGCCTGGCTGGGGCTCGGTGGTTAGAGTGTTTACTCATGCACAAAAGGGTCTTGGGTTGGGTTACCTGTCAAGAGAAAAACATACCTGGATTACAGGTTTGATCTCCACCCCAGAGGCACCTGTGGGAGGCAACCAATCTCTTTCCCTCTCTCTCTACTCTCTCTAAAAATCAATGGGAAAAAAATATGCTCGGGTGAGGATTAGCAAAAACAAAAACAAAAAACGGAAAACAAATTTGGTTGTTTCTTTATGCCCGCATGTATTAAAATCAATCATCATACTGGCCTCCTTCCTCATTTATTATCTTCACAAGCATCTCAGAAAGTAAGCAGAACAGTCAGAGAGAAGCATTTGGCATAGATGAAATGTCAGGCAAATATATAGCTAGTTTACATAACTAGGTCAGCATCAATTATGCAAACAGGAAACTCTAAGAAGTGGTTCCATCCTCTTTCCCATAAGCAATAACTAAGTCATACTAATCTCCCACATATTCTCAAGAAAACAATTCAAAGAGGACCTGTGTTCCCAAGCTAAGTAACAACTTTGTACTAACTCTGAACATCAAGAAGTTTCCTCCATTGCTTCAAACTAGGAATCAGCCAACAGCTCGCCAGCTGCCCAAGAAAATGTCTATGTACCAATTATCAGGCAAGAGAGTAGAACTTATGATGTAAAAAACACAAAAGAACATTAAAAAAAAAAAAAAAAAAAAGCAGTGCTTCTTTCTTTAAAAAAACAATTAGTGTTCTTTATAATGAAAAGAATGGAGAGCAAACTGACAAACACTTAAGAAATATTTTTATTGTCAGTTCAGCAATTATAAATCAGTATGTATATATTATTCTGCTAACTAAAAAAGTTATTCAGGAGTCATTTATGCCAATCTTTCAATTGAAAATCAAGGCTAGCTTATTTCTATAAACCATTTTAACATGTATATCCAATCTTTGAAAGTAAAAGTCATCCAAAAAGCTCAACGGGCAGAAGTAATTCTGCTTGAAAGCCATTTGAAGACACAAAAATGTCGCAGCATTACACGGACTAAGAGCACAAGAAAGCATAATTATACACATCATATTCTACTAGCAAAAGTTAAATGTAAAAACTATGCTAAGCAAGGAAATAAAGGTAAATAACTTGATCAGACCCAGCTACATAACAGATGTTATTTATATAAGCAACATAAACTGCATTGGTCGTCATATACCAAAAGGGAGGGAAAAATCCATCTTCCACTTAGATCAAACTGTTTTCCAAATTTCTTTTTATTTCCCAATCAAAACCAAAATGTATAGCTCACATTTACTTTACTCACATGAATTTTTTTTAAATTCACACACATGCACACAGAGATAACTCTATATATTCTACATATTGTCAATAAATAAACTGAAAGTACTTTCCTTTTTTATCATTTTCAAATTGATTTGCATGACCAGGCCTATTTCATCTTCCTTTTCCTCAGTGCTTTAACTAGCTAATCTGATCATCTGTCACAGAACTCAGACTGTGAAAAACATTGTCCTCTAGGTTAGCACTTCTGACTGGGGCTGGGAGGAGGTAGATGGAGGGGATTCTCAGCAAAGGCATAAAAAGTAAGAGGCATAGAGATTCTACAATACATAAAATCGCTAGTGAAAGCCCACATCCTGAGAGCAGGAAATCTCATGTGAAAAGCATCAGGCATGACGAAAAACACATTTAGGTTGTAGTAAACTTCTGAAGTACATACTGTACTTGATTTAAAAACAAAAGGGGGTGTGAAGAAAAGCCACACGTACTGCTGCAAGATAGCTGTGCCAATTCTACGTTAGAAACCCTCAATGGCTTAAACACCTCAGAGCTGTCCAAGTTTATTTCTGGAGAGGGAAGGCACTTTCTCTGGCAGGAGAGTGCACTTGGCTTTGTGTTAAACAGCTCTTGACTGCTGGAAGCAGGTCAAAAGGGCAGTTTATGTTGTCCTTTTAGGTCCATGCCAAAATTAGTCAGGAGGTCTAAGAATTAGTACTACTCAAACCTGCATAGATCTATCCTTCCAGCAAAAATACTTCTAAGTATTCATAGGTGCCCATTATAAAGTGATGGTCCTCAGACATATTTATATCAGTGACTTCCATAATGGAAACACAAGGTAATTTAAATATTTTTAAGCCAAATATTTTTGTCAACTTTTGAAAAACAGACAATGCATCCCAATAAATTCAAATGGTATGGACCCCTCCAGAATGTATTTCAGAAAACATGGAGTCTACTTTCTCTTCATCAGTACCCGGGCTAGGAGAAAGGAAAAGAAAACTGGCTAGTTTACACGAGGGAAAAAAACAACAACAGAAACTCCTATGATTCCCCTTAGGTGTGATGGGAGCCTGTGTTTAGATGTGTGATTAAAGAACAGGGGAGCAGTGAAAAGTACTCATTATTCTAATTCCACTGATACCGCTTAAAACATTTTAGATAATGTGGCTACAACTCACAGACTGTTTCAGACCTGCACCTTTATACTCCATTGGAGAGGTTTTCCTTCACATCCTATCCTGCATCCCTAGCTCCTCTTCCCTCTCCTTTCCTCTTCTCTAAGAGCCCGGCCAAGGGAAGTGCCTGTGTTAGTGGTCAACAATGAGTGATTTAACGTTGCCAAAAAAAAAAAAAAAAAAATCATACGTAAGATCTCACTACCCAATGCTTTCATATCCCTAAATACTTCATCCCAGAGGTGCATCTGTCCTTTCACTAGAATACAACGAAGCCATTGCTGTTGTTTTTTTCAGGACAATGATGGCCTGTCATTTCAGTAGCCGCTTCTTCTGAAACCACAGGTTCACCTCATTCTTCCCACCGCACGGACGGAGGGAGGGTAAAAAGCACTCCCAGGCCGGGTGGCATCTCTGCAGCCTAGAGCTTTCCCCAGCCAGGCCTGGGGAGCGGCAGAAACCCCCAGTTCCCTGGCTATTGCCACCGTCGCCTCGGTCTTCATCGCCGCCTAGGAAATCTGTAACCTGCAGAGAGCGGCAGCTCACACAGACATCGCCGAGCACCAGGCCTTGAGATCACCACGCTCTCCTGGCAAAGCAAAGCCCACGTCTTCACATCGTCACCCACAAAAGCTCCGTCCGCATCCTTCTCCATCCCGGGGCCCCGAGAAGCCCGCCCTCGCGCGGTTCTGGACCCGGAGCGCGGCCCGCTGGCCGTGACAGTGACAGGTGACAGTCCGCTGTGGCTCCGGGCAGAAAGCGAGGCAGGTGCTGGGTGTCCCCCGGCACCTCCCGCCGCCCCCACACCCGCCCCACCACCCTCCCCACCTGCACAGCCCGGCGTCGCCCACGCCTCACGCTCCGCGGCCGCAGCTGCACCAGCAGCGCGGCTCCGATCCCCGCAGCACCCTCGGGGCCTCGGTATAGCGACAGGCGTGCGGGCTGCTAGCCTCCCTCCTCCCAGCCCCTCCGCGTCCCCCTTCTCTCCCCCGGCTCGGCCCACCGCCCTGGCGGTCAAAGTCAAGGCAAGAGCCCGGGGTCTCGACCGGGAACGGCCGCTGCCCGCGGTGCAGCCGGGTGGGCCCTGCCGACCTCGAAAGGGGAAAAACGCAGCCACTAGCCGCGGGGCTCGGGCCGAGGGGAGCGGGGAAGCGGAGCCGGTGTGTCTCCTCACCTCCCTGGGGAACGCCGTCCCGTTAGCTCCGGTCCGGCCCGCGGTCCCGGAGCGGTGGGAGGGGACCCAGCCCGAAACACACATAAAAGGCTCACAAATAAGTCAAGTGCACGCTCCAAGCTCTTACCTCGTGATGGTGAAGTGCCTTGGGGGGGGGGGGGGAGGGAAATGTGCACTTAGCTAACGAGGTCGGGGGAGGAGGGGCTTTCCCGGTGGGTAAATAAAACTGCCTTCTCCGACGCCTCTGAGCTTTGGAACGAGCAGGACAAGCCACTGGCTCTTCGGCTGAAAATTCTGGAGAATGTGTTGCCCGCTGAGGGCCAGCTGGAGAGGGGGGCGGGGGAGGGAGGCGGTTCGCCTTGACTGACGCAGCTCCAGCCAATCCGCGCTCCGGAGAGGCGGTGCGCCTGACACCCGGACCACCAATCACAGATCCCGATAGGAACGAGCCTCCCCACGGCTGCAATTTCACTCCGGCCGCCCTCGGGAAGCAGTGCCCTGTAGAGCGACGTCGGCTAGAGCCAATCGCAGCTCGCGGTGCTATCCCACGCAGCAAGGCCTTGGCGCGCCGGCCAATGAGGACGCGCCTCGGTGGTGGGTGGAGTCAGGATACGGTACCGAGTGATAGTCGACCACCCCGGAGCGGTGAGGGTGTCGCTAGGGGCAAAGGGGCGGTGGTTGTGACAACTAGGAAGCCGAAAACGGAATGCTAACTCTTTGCCTGGGCAAGGGCGCTTGAAAGGCATCTGGTTCGTTGTTATTATTTGAAAATATCACAGTGCAGCGTCCTCCTCCGTAAGAGAAGTTATCATGTGATCCCTTGGGAATGTCTCATTCATTCGACAGGTATTTGTTTACCTAGGATTGTGTGTGCCTGGGACTGTGCTAAGCACTGGAGATAACAATCACTTTCGTGGCTCAACTAGACCCGACAGCCGCCTTATAAACCAAAAGGTAAACAAGCAAATAAAATAACAAATGTCAGGAAGGAAATGGGCAAGGTGTGGCTATAGAGAATAAGAAGAGGTTGTCATTAGATAAAGAGGGTTGTTATAAGATAAATTTATCAGATAAACACTTAAATGGAGGCTGGAAGAATAAGAAAGCGTCAGTCCTGACACCAGGAAAGCGATGATTGTTCTGGAAAGAGGGAACAGCAGAGCAAAGGTCCTAAGGTGGAACAGCTTGACATTTTGGAAGAACAGAAAGGCCAGTGTGTCTCCAGGATAGAGTTAGGGGAGAGCAGTCAGACATGAGGTGGATGGGGTAGACAGAAAGCAGACCATGTAACCATTAATTTTAAATTTAATGGGACTATTGAGGCATTTAAGTAAGGAGTAAATGGATCTGGTTAAGATTTTAAATCACTTTGGTTAATGTGTTGAGAACAGGTAGGACAGGCTATTGGGAGACTATATCAGATGAGATGCCTGGTAGGAAATGACCTAGCTTAAACTCTGGCGATATCTCTGGAGGTAGAGAAAAACAGAGATTCGAGATTTTAAAGATAAATTATTAGCTTGTTTTGACATTCTGGGACAACTGTTTTGAATTATTAGCTTGTTTTGATTCTGAGACAACTGTTTTGAATCCAGTTCATTGAATACTGTATTTGGAGAGTGATTCTCACACTGATTGTTCACAAATTCTAGTAATGATATTGAGGATTATTACACTGTGTTGAAATTCATATTTCATGAGTTTTCTGGAATTTTATTTCTGTTTTTAAATTTTTACTGAAGTATTTTTGTGTGTGTGTACATATGTAGAAAAGTATACATATCTCAAGTGTATATAACTCAATGAATTTTCACCTGTGTATCCATCACCCAGATCAAGCAACAGAACATCATTAACAGCTTGGGACTCCATTATACTGACTTTCAGTCATTGCCTATCCTGACTTTCAACAGCATAGAATAGTTTTGCCTGTCTTTGTACTTGGTATATATTTAGAGAACCATAAAGTATGCATTCTTTTGTGTTGGATTTCTTTACTCAACTTTTTTTTATATGATTCTTCCATTCATTCATTTATTTCATCCCATTCTGTAAATATACCACAATTTATGAATTCATTCTTCTGTTGGTGGTGAGGATAGTTTCCAGTTTGGAGATATTAGAGATAGTGCTACTTTGGACATTCTAGTACATGTCTTTTGGTAATAGCCTTTTCTTTTGATGGAGCATTTTGATATCTGGGTTTTTAATTAAGTTTTTAAGTAATTAAGGTTTTTTTAAAATCTCACACAGCAAGTCCTTAGCGTGAGTTTAAACAATCCCTTTTTAAAATATATTTTCATTAATAATGTAGTACCATGCATTGCAATATGTTAAACATTTGTATCAAAGTCTGGTGCAGATAATGAAGGACTTTAATCTCATAAATATGAAAACTTTTGGCAACAACAAGGAACTGTTAACATGGGAATTTAAAACATTTTTTATTATATTTGGCATTTTGAGCTTTTTAAGCACTTGTGATGCTCAGAGTTTGAGAACATCATGACTTTGCTACATCTTTGTTGTTGTTGTTGTTAATCCACACCCAAGGATATTTTTCCATTGATTTTTTTTTCTTTTTCTTTTTTAGAGAGAGTGGAAGGGAGAGAAACAGAGAGAGAAAACATCAACGTGATGAGAGACACATCAGTTGGTTGCCTCCTGCATGAACCTTGACCTGGGCCAGGGATCAAGCCTGCAACTGAGGTCGGTATTCTTTCCACTGAGCCAAACCAGTCAGGGTGCTACATCTTTAAAAATAATTTTCTTATTTAGTTTAGAGAGAAGAAGGGAGAGGGAGAAAAGGATAGAAGCATCAATGATGAGAATCATTGATCAGCTGCCTCCTGCACGCCCTCTACTGGAGATCCAGCCCACAACCCTGGCATGTGCCCTCACTGGGAATTGAACCATGACCTCCTGGGTCGACAATCAACAATTGAGCAACACAGGCTGAGTTGTTACATCTTTTTACTGTAATAGACTGTAATTCACAGTCATATGATAAGCAAGGTTCTAAGAATATGCATATATTTGATGTTAATACAGTTTTTGGAATTGTGAAAACCACATTATTCCACACCCTGCCAGAGTTGATTACAAAAAAAGTAAACTTCTTCTGAATTATATACTTCTGTTCTTTGGATCTCTGAAGCAAAGCTAGATGCAGTATAAATGTACATCTACTCAGCATGAGAGATCACAATATACTGTCCAAAAGAAACAAGTAAACACAACACTCCATCCCTTTATTAACTTGTGCTGCTTTTTATTTCATTTTATACTTTAAAGAATTAAACTATTTGATAATGGTGACTATCAGGAAATTATACTCAAAATAGGCCATAAAGCTTTGGATAGGTTCATGGCATAGGGGTTTATAAAATATAAGTAGGGACATTTGAGTCTTGAGTAAGCCACTTGAAATTTAGGCTAATGAATTACCAAAATGAAATTGTATAAATTAGCATATTAAACATTTTAAGAGTTTATTTGAGCAGAAATCAATTGGAATTGGGCAGCACTAAGCCAGAGGGAGTTAGGAGGACTGCACCAACAGGAGCCAGAAGCAAGATTTTATAAAGATGCACAAGCAAAACAAGGAAGTTATTTGGCTATGGCCTAAGCAGTTACCTTTGAAGAACAGAATGAAAGCATAAAATGGAGTCACTGTAGTCAAGCTGCTGAATTACTAAATTCAAGTAGCTTGAGGCATGAGGAAATGATTATATTCTTGTTTTAACTAGCCTGGAAACAAACCTTTGAATTTTCTAGTCCTGTGTTAATTCTTAGATATATAACAATTCTTCTTTTTTAAATATATTTTTATTGATTTCAGAGAGGAAGGGAGATGGAGAGAGAGAGATGGAAACATCAATGATGAGAGAAAATCATTGATCAGATGCCTCCTGCATGCTGGGTCTATGGCACATGTGTCAAACACAAGGCCCTCGGGCCAAATCCGTCCCGCCAGGCCTTGCAATGTGGCCCGCACCGTGCTGTCATCACTGCACTCCGCTGCGTTTCCATCACAATGACAGTTTATGACTGTTCAGTAAACCATTCGGCCCGCGATTTAGGCTGGATTTTAGATTTTGGCCCCTTCTCTGATTGAGTTCGACACCCCTATGGGATCAAGTCCACAACCCAGGCATGTGCCCTTGACCAGAATCAAACTGGGCACTCTTCAGTCCATAGACTTGAAGGACTCATTTATCCGGAACACCTAACATCCACCTTACATTCATTACCCAGACCACTGAGCATCTGACTGATAACCATCCCAAACCAATCCTAAGGCTAAGAATGCAGTACTGATTCTTCTCAAGAAAGTACTTTGTACTATAAGGACTCTTAGCTTTTCTTTCTTCTTTATCTTATTTGGGAAAATCTAGTTGGTCCTTTGTGATTGGCTGTCCTTAGATTTCCATTACTCCCACTTGAGGTAGTAAGTTTTGGTTTGTTTAAGTGAGCTACTAAAGTAGGGGTGTCGAACTCAATCAGAGAAGGGGCCAAAATCTAAAATCCAGCCTAAATCGCGGGCCGAATGGTTTACTGAACAGTCATAAACTGTCATTGTGATGGAAACGCAGCGGAGTGCAGTGATGACAGCGCGGTGCGGGCCACATTGCAAGGCCTGGCGGGACGGATTTGGCCTGAGGGCCTTGTGTTTGACACATGTGTACTAAAGCATTAAAGTCACCTCAGTCTATTGTTGAATATAAGCTAACACTATCCACTTTCCTAATTAGTTACTAATACTCATGGGAGCCATATATTATATAATAATAAATTTATAATTTTATTAATATTCACTAATGAGTAATCAATTATTTTGAGATAACTTTTATCACCTGAGAAACTCTTATCTGCATAACAATATAAACCTTGCCCTGGCCCAGTAATTCAGTGGGTTAGAGCATCATTCTTATATGCTAAAGTTGTGGATTCCATCCCTGGTCAGGGCACATATAAGAATAAACCAATGATGTCAAAACGGGTTTGGCTCAGTGGTAGAGCATTGGTTTGCAGACTGAAAGGCCCCGGGTTCGATTCCAGTCAAGGGCATGTACCTTGGTTGCGGGCACATCCAGTAGGGGATGTGCAAGAGGCAGCTGGTCGATGTTTCTATCTCATCGACGTTTCTGGCTCTCTATCTCTCTCTCTTCTTCTCTGTAAAAAATCAATAAAATATATTTTAAAAAAAAAAAGAAGAAACCAATGAATACATCTCTCTCTCTCTCTCTCTCTCTCTCTCTCTCTCTCTCTCTCTTTCTCTCTTCTCTTTCTCTTTTTCTTTATCCCCTT